GATCAGTGTTGGCCAAAGAGCAGAGCTGCAGCCCAACAGCGAGAGTGGAGTGTCATTTTCAGACCTCTTTCCCTCTTCAGTCCTCCCTGTTATCTCTCAGCCCCACTTTTAGGTACATCCATCCATCTTTGTGTGCGTGTGTGTGTGTGTGTTGGGGGGGTGATGGGGATGCAGACAGCCACCTGTTACTATGGCTACATAATCACACGGGCTTTGGCTTCTCACAGAAGAGGAGTCCATTAAAAAAAAAAGACACGTTAAACATGTTTAAACGTTCAGGAAACAGAGGAGGACTTGCCTCAACATAAATCAATTAATTCTCAAATTGTCTCACTTGATTATAATTAGCTTTAGCAACGTGAGCGCGCGCACGGAAAGAACGTGATTTAAAAATATATATATAATAAAATGCGCGCGTGCAGTAAACGATCATTAGTGGGACATTAATTAACCTTCCCGGGAGGAACATTAAGATCTCCCCGTTAATAAAAGCGAGCAGATCTTTGACTGAAAAGGGCGTGTTGAGGTTTAAATTGTGGAGTAATTGAGGCCAGCGCGGATTATATCGCGCAAGGTCGACGCAAAACCTTTAAAATATTCATTCAGCATCTAAAAATAATTAAGAAAGAGACATTAAAATGTGTTTAGAAGCTGTGTGCAGTGAGTGGTGCTGCGGGTCCTACCTGTACCGCCGGCTGCTCGACCCCTCGCCGCTGCGGACCGTCCCTCCAGCTGTGCGTAACGGACGCAGAGATGCTGACTCCGGCTTTTGGGGAGCTACAAGGGCGCACCGCATGTCAGGGCTTGAACGAGGCTCAGCATAATGCTGTTAAGAGGATTAGGAGCCAAACACCTCTCACCTTCCCTTTCACACATAACGCTGTATCAATACACCAACATTCAACCTGTTGTGCTGGTCGCAGCCGCCGGTTTGAGGTGAAACCTCGGAGGCGGCTCTGAGCGCGGAGCCCGCTGGATGGACAATAATTAGACGTTCAGAGGCTGACAGGAGGAGTTTGGTCGGTATTTTGGGTGTGGTCAGGTATAACCTTGTATCAGGAGTGAGGAGAATTGATTTTACTTCCACAAATGAAGAGCAGAACATGCAATGCAAAGTGAAAAATAAAGTGTTTTTTGGGGTTTAACAGAGATATTTTATTGATTCACAGTATAAATGTTTATTTTCAAATGTGAACAAAATGAGTCCAAAAGGTAACGTGTATGATTATTGAGTGTTAAAAACTTTTATTTTTAAATTGCAGGAGGAATTTTAATGTCAATTTTAACATTTTTTTGACAGTTTTGTCACGTGGTTCAGAGTTTGGACTGTAATTAGAGTGAAGATGGATCGATGGATAAATGAACGGTAGAAAGTACAAATTATTCTTAATTGACTAAATGTATAAGATATCTAAAAGTAAGCAATAAGACAATAAATGACATTATCAGAGCTGCTTCCAAAACTTAAACAAAAGGGTTATAAAAATTGAAATATTAAACATTTTACCTTCAGTCTGAGTCGCTGCTCAGCTGATTGATTGGAGCTCTGCTGAGGTTGAAGTTGGGCTGAGAAATTACACGAAATGTCCAAATAAGGGAGGATAAAGACAGAAGTTGTCCCGCCCGAACAGATAGTACAGAACCAGTGCTGGAGAGAGAGAGAGGAGGGAGGAGGGAGGGAACAATCAATCAATCAATCAAACTGTGCACCTACACAGGAGAGGGCCAATCAGCTGAAGTGAAAACACCTGTGTGAGTGTGTCAGAGTCCCTTATTATCACATCAGCATCACCTGGTGGCTTTAAACTGATACATACATTAATATAACTGTTAGATTAACTTTAAGAATATACATTTAAAGAGCTAGAAACAGTCCTGTTGCTTTATCCTTCACTTTATTTGTAATAGAGCCACAATCCAATGTTGAAACCTGGAAACAGGGTTCACTTATTTTAAAGATATCCACTTGATTTGATTAACTCAGACTCCTGAAGCCTCATATTAGTGTCAGATTCATTTAGAAACTTTTGGACTGTGGATTTTGTTTGTTCCCATCTCTCACAACAGGAAGTAGAAGTTGAAGGTAATTAAACTGTTGTTTTAAGACAGACCTAATTAGACGTACCACATTATTCCAAATACATGCATACAAACTGTTTCTCAGAGATAGAAAAATGTTGCTAATGATGTTTTAAAACAAAACTTAAGCTAGTTTAGGTTTGGTTTAGTGTTTCACCTCCCTTTCTTTGACGTTAGGTTTCTTCCTCTACTCACCCCACAAACTAAACTTTTAGCTACCGACTCATGTTAGTCCTCTCAGTTAAGTGATCCACGACAGCGTATATTCTTATAAAAGTAACTGAAGCAACCTGCAGGCGTACAGGTTAAGATGCATATCAATTAACTGTAAACCAACTAGTTTGATCCCCTCTTCTACCCACATACATCCTATCTGTATCTACTCTGTAAAGTATCTAATGAACACACAAAAACCCTCTTTAAACATGTTTTTTGACTTTACAACAGGAACTGGGGAAAACAAACAAACACTCAACTTCCAAAATAGGAACTCTGATGTTTATTTTTTGTCAGGAAACCATAATTGTGACTTTCAATCAAACATTAGTATGAATTTACCTTAACGACTTTCTGAAATGCAATAAATTGTCTGAATTAAAGCCGTATGTCCACTGCACATTCTTCCCATAATGGACACCCTTAGACAAATAAATGTGACACAAACCAATCAGAAGCAACAACAGTCAGTAAACAATAATAAAAAAAAAACAATAAAGAAAAAGGCTCAAAAGGTGAACAGATTGGTAAAGAAAGCAAAGAACAGGAGGCTCATCGGGACATTTCCTTTTATTCCACTGATAAATCTTTATAGAAATGACTTCCTTTATTTCACTGTGTCAGAACTGTGGACACGGGATTGTGAGCGTTCTCCGGAGACATCGCGGCTCCAAATTACACAAAACCATCACATCAAGTATTTGTTTAACTCATAGAAGTTAAGAAAAGTTATAAATTAAGGACACACAACATTGTTTGACAGGCTGCTGAAATGGTCAGTCAAAAATATTAGACAAATAAAACATATTTAGGTTTAAAGCTGCAGTAAATTTAAATAAATTAAAGCCCAAACAATACTGAATATTTGATGCTGATATTGATATTTGAGAGTAAGAAACATAAATATGTAACTAAAGCAAACATTTTTAATAAGTATCCCTTAAATTTGGTTCAATAAAAAGAATTGTGTCCAAGATATTTACTGAACAGGATGTTTTATAACTGTAAATGTGTTTAAAGTTCATTAAGGGACCAGTGGTGGAAGAAGTATTCAGATATTATACTGCAGAAATACTGTTTTGTGTATTTTAAATTTTACTTGAGTAAAAGTACAAAAGGAATAGCATCACAATATACTTAAAGTACTAAAGATTAAGTACAAATTTTTCAGAACAATGTATATTATATTATATTATATTATATTATGGGATTACTGTGTACATCACTTTAATATTGCAGCTGGTAAATGTGGGTCTATTTATTTTATATATTTGACATAATATATATATTGAGATTCTGCAGTACTTGAGTAAATGTACTTAGAACTTAGAACTTAGTCTTCTGTCCCCTTTCACAATCAAGTAACTGTGATAAAAGCTATAAAACTGCCCAAAAAGTTTGGATCCCATGAGGGTGGAGGGCGGCAAGCAACATACCGTTGCCTGTATTTTTCAATCCCAACCACCAGAGGCGCCAAAGTTTAGTCCTTTATTTTTTTTAAATTCTACACAAAGTGACAGCAGTGAGCAAGAGAACTGAACTTTAGAGGTTCAAGCTGCCCATAACATGCAGAAAATGAAGCTAAAAGCATTACACAAAGTTAAAAATATCCATTTCTGTCCTGTCCTCACATGTTCTCCTACTCTGCTGTTTGCAGTTACACAAACACAGACCGGTGATTATATTTGTTATTTTCTAGCTGTTGGGTGTTGATTTATGTTAAGATTTATGGGAACTATTGTATTTTGTGTCTTTTTGGTTGTCAAGGTGCACCCAGGGATCAAAGAAGGCTCAATGATCTATCTATTATCTATCATTCTATCTACTAATTCTATCTATCTACTATCATCCTATTAATCTATCTATCTATCTATCAGTCTATCTATCCCCCCCAATGAACGTCGTACAGACTGAAACTTCACGGGTCAAACATGTAGAAAAATACATCTCTGCCCTTCTTCAGTGATGCGAACAGGCTGCAAAGTTTGATCTTAATCAACTTTAAATCTTTCCTGACGTCTATTTCATGTCTTTAAAACAGGAATTCAGGGGTCATAAACTTCATTAGGTTTTCACTCACAGTTTACATCTCATCGTTTTGAGGCGTGTCATGTGTTTCACGAGACAAAAAAAAACATTTTCCGGTCGTGAGGTAAAAGCACAAACGTGTGTGTGTCGGTAGGATTGCGTGTTGTGTCAGAAAAGCAGTTATAAATATCTCCTTTTACAGTACTTTGCATGACTTTGTTAATATTCAAAGCAGTGAATGAGGCTTCTTCTGAAGGCTTCACCCAAGGCTCAGTGTTAGAGAAAAACAGCTCTAAATCTAAAACTGACAGTTAAGAGCCACAGTGTTTTCATGCAATGGCATTTAAAATATTTCCTCTATTGATTCAAGAACCATAAAAGTGGAATTTTAGCTTATAAACTTCCACTAGTGTAAAGTTTTTACATCACAACGACTGAAGAATCTACAAGTTCAAAATCAACTTGCAGAGAGTTGACACTGACGTGAGATTGCTGTGTTTTTTTTTCACGCAGTTGCAAAGCAGGAACAATTTAAAATCTCTCATGGTGCGTTTAAGTGCGTTCAGACGTTTGAGAATTAAATCTTCTTTCAGACAATAAAACCCATAAAAATTCTAAATTCTCACACTGTGAAGTGTCCTTGAATGCACCACAACAGAGAGAATATCAAAACTGTATTGGCTTTAAATTGCATCAACACGTAACAACAATATAACGGTTAATAAAGGTCGATTGTGATGAATCTGTGATTTGTAATCAGTGGATTAAAAGATTAAAAGTTCCATGAACAGGTGTTTGTACACAGAAATCGTTTTCTTTACTGTGTTAATGAAGTTAACACTTCTCTCATGTCCCCAAACAAGGAAATCAACAGAAAAATGAGCAAAATATTTCAGAAATTATGAAAAATAACAAAACCTTAAACAGTGACGGCAGACAGAAATCATGATAAATATGGACACAATAAACATGGTTAGCAACTCAAACTCACAGTAGTAAAGCACAGGGTCGACCTGTACAGAGAGTTTAGGTGACGTCCGTTCAACAGTGAGTCGTTGAGCTGGTACAGTAGCATTTACAGGATTTGGTCTGGAGAAGGTTAAAAGTTCACCCAGTGGAGGAATAAGGTGAGCAGTACTCCAACAGGTGTGTGAGGAGAGAGAGAGAGAGAGAGAGAGAGCGCGAGTGTGTGTGGGAAAAAGGCAATTAAAGGAAAATAAAACAGCTGCGTTATCTTTAAGTGTACGGAAGTTCAGAGGGTGTGCAAAATAATGGCGCTGATCAGTTAGTGGACTTTCCTTTTCTTCGAGCGGTACCGTCTCCTCCTCTGCTTGTACAGGTGTCGGAAATTGATGAAGAGTCCTGCGGAGGGGAGCGAAGATCAGTCAGTATTAACGAGGCTCGGCTTTTAAAACCAACCAGGCATCAGCTATTGGTTTGCAGAAACTAATGTATAACTATTATAAGTTAAGTAACTTAAAAATGCTTTATATTTTGAGAAATTAGGATACTATGTAGTTAGCTTAATCATGAAAATGTTAAAATGTGTAGGAAATAATGTAAAAAAAAAAGACACTATAATGGTCTTTTAATGAAAATAATGACAAAAATATTCTAAAAGTACCTTTTTTTTTCTTGATAAAAACCATAAACAACCTGCAAACACTTTTATTTAAATATTTTTTTACTTTTTTAATATAAAACATTTCTTGTTGAACTTATTAAACTGATTGCACTAATAATTAGCTTTCATTAATACCAGTAACACCGTGTTAATCTTAATGTTATCAGCTGTTTTTTTAGTTGATAAAAAAAGTGAGGCAGCAATCAACCAGCTGGGACAAACCATTAAAACAGGCCTGCCAGCTGTCAGAGTAATAAAAAACCATTAGCTGACTTAATAATATCAAGGCCTGTGGGTGTGATGTTAGTAGAGGGTGAGACAGAGAGGATGGCGGTGTGTTTGTGGATGTCTCACCCAAGAACATGAGGACCAGGTAGAGCTGCAGAGTGTAGGAGAAGCTTAAAGAGTGTCCGAGCACGGCAGGGAGGGGGAGGCTGAACAGACGCGTCTCATCGAAGATGGGCAGGGACTGGATCACCGCCACCGCTGGAAAACGAAGACACAAGAGTCAGCAGTCAACACTCGACACGACCGCCAGCGAACATGTTCTCAGTGAGTGAGCTCACCTTCAGCCACAACCCCCAGCGGGTAGAGAGGGATCCACAGGCTGTATCTGAGCCACGTCAACAGCTTCCACTCTGTGCTGATGCAGGCCAGCATGTAGAAGGGATACCTGCAGAGGAGGGAGAGCTGGTGTGAGAACATGTTCACAGGAGAGAGAGAGAGAGA